GTTGCTGTGAGTGTGATGCCATGGCACTCTACCCAGGGGGATAGCTTGAGGCTTCGTCTCAAAAAAAAAAAAAAATTCTGTTAGGGTTACTGTGGAATAAGAGGACTGAAACAAGTTCCCTGGAGACTAATGACTCAAACAAACAAAGCAGACAATAGAATCCAGCCAGTTGGCCAAGTAAGTTTAATGGAACTCCTCCTAAGGCATTATTTTAGAGGAGAATGCAGAAACCACTGGTACCCTAGGTAAGCACACACATACATTCTACTCAAAGAGGCTATTTACCTGATAAGACTGAATAGGTGCTCTGACACCTGAGTTCAGTCATAGAACATAGAGAAGACCAGCAGATTTTAAAAACCCAGGAACCTCTGGGTGAAGTTGGGAATAGGTAGGTGGCATACCCTCTGATTAGAAAAAGGGTAGAATAACCTTAGCTTCCTGGATGAATATTAGCTAAAGTAGAGCTAGCACAGAGAGAAACGAGGGCAAAGAACCACACCTCCAAACAGGCAATGCACTGACTGACCTCATCCGACTGACGAATAGCCTTCAGTGCAATCCACACAGTCCCCACCATGGTGTCCCAGATCAGTCCTTTGTTCCATACCTCCACACTCAGACCCAGGTCCAGGCGACTAATCTCACTAAAAGAAAGAAAAAAGCACTGTGAGGAAAGTTAGATTATATGAAAGAAACAGCTATATCTCCTGTTTTGTTAAACCTTAAATGCTTTCTTACCAGGACCATTCAGGGAAAATCAAAACATCCCAGAATACTGTAACCATTCTTTATGTTCTTAGAAACCATAGAAAAATGTCTTTGCTATAGTTATACAAGATACATTCCAGAGACATGGTGTTCCACATAGTACCTATAGTTAATAATGTTTTAAACACTTAAAAATTTGCTAAGAGGGTAGATTTCATGTTAAGTATTCTTATGGTACACACACAAAAACAAGATCCAAGAAAATTTGAAGGTGATTGACTATGGTTATTATAATACAAGTGTATACATATATCTAAATTGGGTACATTATAATGTGCAGGCTTTTGTATACCAATTATACACCTACATTTGCTCAGCAGGCCCAACTGAGAGAATTCTGAGAGGTTTGGTTCTATTTATGCCTCATGGCCAGAGCCCTGGAGAGACTTCTTTTCTCTATTAATTAATTCAATCAAGAGTATACAAACACATGTGTGTATAAGATTTTGAGCTAAGCAAATTCACACCAATAAGATGCCTATTTTGCCCTTAAGAAATGAACAATCTAGTCCTGAAAATAAGATATAAAAATATTGAAGACAAATAATATAAGAAATACAAAAATGGATATTAGATACTGTCACATAATATATCAGGCAGAAGGGAATAGGAGAGTTACCAGAGAAAAGGAATAGGGCAGGAGAAATAAGGAACAGAGGAGCAGAAAGGTAGAGAAAGTAACAAAACCCCTGTCTAAAATAAGAGGGAGCAAAACTATACAGCATCTCCATGGGAGAGACAGGGACACATATCACACAGTTGAAAGGGAAAGTAATGTGTGAAACAGGAAAATAAACACACAAGAATAATGTTAACTGTGCTGATGAGAGACTGCAGACGATCATGTGCTTCACATTCTGGGAGCAGTTATAACTAGAAGTCAGAAGAGAGGAGGATTGCTAGGTTTGTATACCATAGCCAGGACAACAGCTATGTTATAGAATAACACAGTGGTATGGGAAGAGACTTGTATAAACTATTCATAGTTGACTCTGAACACTAGTAGATAAAGAAGAGAACAGGTGGTCTCATTCTCATGTCTCTGTAACAGAGACAGAATAAATGAGGCTAATATAAAATTGTAATAGGTGATGCGTAAGAAATGTGACACCGTTGGCCTCTTTCTTTTGAAGCCCCAGCTCTCCCATCGCTTCCATGACACCGTTATCGCCTGACTCTTCCATGTCTATGTACACTCCCAGTTATAATTATTCCCTTCATTAAATGCTGGTGTTCCCTGGGTTCTACCCTCTCTCTTTTATTACATTCACCTTCTAAGCCTTCTCATCTACATCTATAGCTTTAACAGAAATATTTCTCTAATCAGAATTCCTTTTTCTTTTTTTGAGACAGGGCCTCATTCTGTCACCCCTCAGTAGAGTGCCATGGCATCATCATAGCTCACAACAACCTCAAACTCTTAGGCTCAAGCAATCCTCTTGCCTCAGCGCCCCCAAGTAGCTGGGACTATAAGCATGCACCATCACACCCATCTACTTTTTTTTATTTTTAGTAGAGATAGGGTCTCATTGTTGCTCAAGCTGGTCTTGAATCCTAAGCTCAAGCAATCTACCCACCTCAGCCTCCCAGAGTACTAGGATTACAGGTATAAGCCACTGTACCCAGCCCCAGAATTCTTCAGTGAGT